CCCAGCATTTTGGGAGGCTGAGGTGGGCAGATCACCTGAGGTCGGGAGATTGAGACCAGCCTGACCAACATGGAGAAACCCCATCTCTACTAAAAATACAAAATTAGCCAGGTGTGGTGGCACATGCCTGAAATCCCAGCTACTCGGGAGGCTGAGGCAGGGTAATCGCTTGAACCTGGGAGGTAGAGGTTGCGGTGAGCCAAGATTGTGCCACTGCACTCCAGCCTGGGCAACAAGAGCAAAACTCCATCTCAAAAAAAAAGGTTCACAGTTTCTGATTTTATTGTCAGGGAATGCCTCCACAGGTCTAATCAAAGTCACTGTAATATTAGGCAGGGTGTAACCGCTCATGTCTATAATCCCAGCACTACGGGAAGCTGAGGCAGGTGGATTGCTTAAGGTCAGGAGTTTGGGATCAGCCTGGCCAACATGGTGAAACCCCATCTCTACTAAAAATAAAAATAAAAAAAACTAGCCAGGCATGGTGGTGCATTCCTGTAGTCCCAGCTACTCTGGAGGCTGCGGCAGGAGAATTTCTTAAACCCGGGAGACAGAGGTTGCAGGAAGCCAAGATTGCGCCACTGCACTCCAGCCTGGGTGACAGAGCAAGACTCTCTAAATAAATAAATAAATAAATAAAAGTCCCTTTTTAAAAGTAGTACAGCTCTGTTCCTTTAATATACTGAATATTTTATGAATATCCAGGTGTCAAGGGATGAGATACAGAATGCAGTGTTTCCCCAATTTGAACACAACTAGTATCCCCAAGTCCACTCTGGGAAACATTCTCTCTGAAACTGTTTCAACGGCAGTTCATCCTTTTAAACACAAAACAAATCTCTATTAGCATTTTATACAAGGAGAGAAACCATAAGAAAAGAGACTTTGGTGATGACCTAAACATAAAAGAAATAAAATTAAAACTGCTGGATACCTAGCACCTAGAGCAGAGCCTTGCACAAAGAAGATTCTCAACAGACGCTCCTTGATTCCACAGGTAACAAAGGATGACCTCATGCTCAATACTGACAGAAGCATTTTCTATTATAGATCTCTTGATGAGAAGACTCCATATGAAGATTATCTCAGCTTACTTTTCGTACTCCCCTGCTCACATAAAATGGTAGCCAAACCTCAATAAATTAGCATGCCAGAGGACCCTTTTCAATTAATTTTATAATTAATTTCAGATTCAATGAGAAAATATTTTCAATTTTTATTGTTGATTTTTTTTTTTTTTTTTTTTTTCGAGACAAGGTCTTGCTCTGTCGCCCAGGTTGGAGTGCAGTGGTGCAATCTTGACTCACTGCAGCCTCTGCCTTCTGGACCTAAGCAATCCTCCTGAGTAGCTGGGACTACAGCCATGCATCCCCACACTCAGCTAATTTTTAAACTTTTGGTAGATACCACCCAGGCTGCTCTTAAACTTCTGAGCTCAAGCGATCTGCCAGCCTTAGCCTCCCAAACTGCTGGGATTACAAGTGTGAGCCACCACACCTGGCCAATAATCTTTCTTAAATGTACCTTTTCATAGGTTCCTTCCCCAGCTTATTCAACGATAATTCTCCACTCAGAAACCTTCATAGTTTTAACTACTACTATATTATTTACACTAATTCCTTCTATATTAAATTTCTTTTATATAAGAAATTTTGGATTTTAACTATGATAATTATGCACATAACATAAAATGTAGCATTAGTAACATTTAGTACATTCTCAATGTTGTGCAACCAGCATGATTAGTTGCAGAATATTTTCCACACTGCAGAAGAAAAGCCTGTATCCATTAAAGCAGCTACTCCCATTCCTTCCATTCCCCAGCCCCTGGCAACCACTCATTTGCCTTCTGTCTCCATGGGCCTGCCTATTCTAGCAGCCCTAGGCAACCACTAATCTTTCTCCCTCTGTGGATTCACATCTGCTAGACATTTCACATAAAGGGAACCTACAATATGTGACTTTTTGTGTCTGGCTTCTTTCATGAGCATGTTTTCAGGTTCATCCATGTTGTGGCATGTATTATAATGTCATTCCTTTCTCGGCCTGAATAATATTCCATCGTATGGACAGAACACACTCTGTTTATCCCTTCATCAGTTGATGGATATTTGGAGTGTTGCCACCTTCTGTCTATTGAGAACAGTGCTGCTATGAACACTGAGTACAAGTTTTTGAGCACCTGTCTGCAGTTCTTTCAAGCACAAACCCCGGAGTGGTACTGTTGGGTCATATGGTAATTCTATGCTTAACTTATGGAGAAGCTGCTGAAATGTCTACAGAGGCTGCACTGTTTTCCTTTCCCACTAGCAACGTGTGAGAGTTCCAACTTCTCTGCATCCCCACCATCGCTTGTTCCTCTCCTTTTTAAATGTGGTATTATAGCCCTCCTAGTGGGTGTGAGATGGCTCTCTCACTGTTTTGATTTGAATTTCTGTAACTACTAATTATATTAAGCATCTTCTCATCTGCTTATTGGCCATCTGTATATCTTCTTTGGAGAAATGTCTATCAGATCCTTTGCCCATTTTATATTTTTATCGCATTTTAGGTTTTGGGGTACATGTGAAGAACATGCAAAATTGTTGCATAGGTACACACATGGAAGCGTGATTTGCTGCCTTCCTCCCCTTCACCTGTATCTGGCATAACTCTCCCCAACTCTCCACCCCCTTATTTCCCCCCAACAGACCCCAGTGTGTGATGCTCCCCTCCCTGTGTCCATGTGTTCTCATTGTTAAACACCCGCCTATGAGTGAGAACATGCGGTGATTCATTTTCTGTTCTTGTGTCAGTTTGCTGAGAATGATGGTTTTCAGGTTCATCCATGTCCCTACAAAGGACATGAACTCACCATTTTTGATGGCTGCATAATATTCCATGGTGTGTATATGTGCCACATTTTCCCTGTCCAGTCTATTATCAATGGGCATTTGGGTTGGTTCCAGGTCTTTGCTATTGTAAACAGTGCTGCAATGAACATTTGTGTGCATGTGTCCTTACAGTAGAATGATTTGGGCTATTTGGCTCTTTATTGTTGGGGTTTAAGAATTGTTTAAGCCAGGCACAGTGGTTCATGCCTATAGTCTCAGCACCTTGGGAGGCTGAGGCAGGTAAATGGCTTGAGCCCAGGAGTTAGAGACCAGCTTGGGCAACATGGTGAAATCCTGTCTCTACAAAATATACAAAAATCAGCTGGGTGTGGTGGTATATCCCTGTAACCCCAGCTACTTAAGAGGCTGAGACAGGAGGATCACTTGAGCCCAGGTGGTTGAGGCTGCAGTGAGCCGTGAATGCACCACTGCACTCCAGCCCAGGTGACAGAGACCCTGTCTCAAAATAAAATGAAATAAAATAAAAATGCAAACAAGTATTCTTTATATATTCTGGATACTGAACCCTTATTAGAAATATGATTTGCAAATATTTTCACCCATTCTGTGGGTTGTCTTTTGTCTTTTTTCACATTCTTTTTTTTTTTTGAGATGGAGTCTCACTCTTGTCTCCTAGGCTAGAGTGCAATGGTGCGATCTTGACTCACTAACCTCCACCTCCCGGGTTTAAGTGATTCTCCTGCCTCAGCCTCCTGAGTAGCTGGAATTACAGGTGCTTGTCACCATGTCCGGCTAATTTTGTATTTTAATAGAGAGAGGGTTTCACCATGTTGGTCAGGCTGGTCTCAAACTCCTGACCTCAGGTGATCCACCCACCTCATCCTCCCAAAGTGCTGGGATTACAGGCATGAGCCACTTGTGCCTGGCCTTTTTTTCCCCACATTCTTGATGTGTTATTTGATGTAAAGAAGTTTTTATTTTGATGTAGTCCCATTTATTTTTTAAATTGGTAAGTTTGAGTCTTCCAACTCTTTTTTCCAGACTGTTTTGGCTATTCAGAGCCTCTTGTAATTCCATATTAATTTTAAGATAACCTTTTCCATCTTTACAACAAAGACCACTGACATTTTGGTAAGGATTGCATTGAATCTATAGATTGCTTTGGGTGATATTTACATCTTAACATTATTTAGTATTCCATCCTATGAAACTGGAATATCTTTCCACTTATTTAGGTTTACTTTGATTTCTTTCAGCAGTGTTTTACTGTTTTCAGCATACAAATCTTGTAGCTCCTTGGCTAAATTTATTCTTAAGTGTTTTATTACTTTTGATGCTATTGTAAATGAAACTGATCTCTTAACTGCATTTTCAGGCCACTCATTGCTAATATATAGAAATGCAATTGGTTTTTTGCATGTTAATCTAGTACCTGCAACTGCCAAATTCATTTATTACCTCTAATATGTTTTTTGTAGATTCCTTAGGATATTCTAGAAGGAATTTGGTTTTTCAGTTAGGCAGCTAGAGTTTGTTATTCAAATACCTATAGTTCTCTCACTACTTCTTTCAAAAGCAAATAAAAAGTCTACTCAAAATGGTAAACTAAGTATTACTTCTTCATAAAAGCTTTACCAAAGTAACTATAAATACATAAAAGAGCCAGATACTTTCCCATTAATGCTTTAAAAATGTCCACTGGCTATCTGAAAAAGATTTATGAAAATTGAACTTTATGAAAACTGAAGTTGGCAAGACCACGTCTCAATTTAAATATATTTTTAAATGAACACTGAAGTAGATAATAGCTTGTTTCCTCATAAAATTTTATATATTTTGACTTCCTTTATTAGAAAATCATTAAGTCCTAAGAACTGATTTTATGTCTTTGAAACTATGACCAAGAGAAAACTCTATTTTAACATTTCCTTTATATTCTAAGGCTCTCTCAATCTCTCAAAAATCTTTTATTTCACTCTTACATTACCTATTATTTGATGTTTTATGATAAGATCAAAGTTCTTTAAGTTTTAATGATAACAAAAATTGCTCACTTATCCCTTAAAATAAAATTTGTCAAAATCAGGACTCTAAAATTGCAGTATTCAAAGGCATACACAATACAGTCTTGCATCCAAGTTGAAGAGAATAGGATTTTTTAAGAGAAAAAATGAGCTTTCTCTTTTATACTAAGATGTCATAAACTATATTATATGTGTGTGTGTGTGTGTGTGTGTGTGTGTGTGTGTGTGCATACATATATTCTAGCTCCTTAGTAATTCTTAAGTGAAAGTCATATTAGATATAAATAACCCCAACTTATTTTTAAACTCAGTATTTTATGCTCTGTATTAATTAAATGTACCCTTAAAAATAAGTTAAATACAGTCAAGGAAACTTTCAACCATTTCTTTCCCATATTAGCAATCCTAGCAATTAAGACCTTCTCCCAGAGCTGGGCACAGTGGTGCATGCCTGTAGTCCCGGCTACTCTCAAGGTTGACCTGAGAGGACAGCTTGTGCCCAAGAATTCGAGGCGAGCCTGAGCAATATGGTGAGACCCCATCTCTTAAAAAACAAACAAAAAACAAACCCCTTCTCCCATAGGTTTCATTTTCCTGCTAGTCTTTTTTCTTTTCTTTTGTCTTCTCTGGACCTTGTTTGTTTCTCCCAAGTCCTCATAAAATACTGAAGTCAGAACTGGATAAATTAGAATATAGGTCCCCACTGACTCTGCAGAAACCATATAACTCCAGCTAGTTCACAAACAACATAAATGAGTGTAGGAAAAAATGATGCAGCATTTCTAATCTCCTAACTAATCTAATTAATCAAACTTCCAATGATTAAATACATTGATATGGCTACTGGTAAAGATCAGATATACTTACCTAATTCAGAAGAGAATTTCAAGTGGCCTTCTGGCTCTTCAATATGACTGTCTATCACATCATCGATTTTGTTTGTTTTGAACTGTGGCTCAAGTACTCGACTTGGACCTCGAGTGAAACGGGGATAGAATTTTTTGGGAGATGGTCCATGGGGTCCAGGCCCCTTGAAGGGCACATTCTTAAGTGGCTGAGTCACTTCACTGAAGTTGAAATAAACAAAAAGCAAAACTGTCCAGGTCGCAGATGTAAAAAGGCACCCATAACAGAAATATCGAACTGTGACACTTCCCATTATAGACCTAGCATAGCTGAAGGGCCATTTTCAATTTCCTAAAAAAGAAGAATAAATACGTTAGACACTTCAGTACACTTTTAAATCATCCACCAAATACAAAGTCATTGTTTTCTAAACCACCAAGGGTCACCATGCATACAGTTAACGGAGAATCAAATACAAGAAGATATACGGATAGCACTGAGTTTTCAAAAAGGGTCCAACAATTAAAACCTCAGGCCAGTGGGTTAATGCTCAGAGAACCAATGGCAGTAAAACAGCTGACTTATTCATTTGCCCATGTTAATGGACACTTCTTCACCTTTGTTCTGGACTGCATTCAGTTTGCCAATTTTTCTCATCAGGTTACAACTTTTCACAAGGAAAATAACAAGTACCACATGTATTGTAACAGGACACCTAAAGTCCCTTCCAGCTATACAACTTCAAGATTCTTTTTAAACCCAAAGATCTTAAAATCTGTTATTAAAAATAAGCAACTGTGGCCAAGTGTGGTGGCACACAGTTGTAATCCCCGCACTTTGGGAGGCCAAGGTGGCAGATCATTTGAGGCCAGAAGTTCGAGACCAGTGTGGCCAACATGGTGAAACTCTGTCTCTACAAAAAATATAAAAGTTACCTAAGGGTGGTGGTGGGAGCCTATAATCCCAGCTACTCAGGAGGCTGAGGCTAGAGAATCTCTTGAACCCAGGAGGAGGAGGTTGTGAGTGAGCTAAGATTGCACCACTGCACTCCAGACTGGGCAACACAGCAAGACTCCGTCTCAAAACAATAAAAATAAATAAATATAAGCAAACTTAAAATAGCTCTACTTTCAAATCAAAGGTTATGCTGCCCCTGTCGACTCTAGATCTAAGTTATTTTCAAATAGAGTTCAAGAAATTATGTTCCCTCACCTATAAAACAAGGCAAGAAGAACTCAATGTGGCCCTGAACAGCAATCAGCAATTTTTCCTAAGCTTTTTTTTTTTTTCCTTTTGAGACAGAGTCTCACTCTGTCACCCAGGCTGAAGTACAATGGTGGAATCTGAGCTCACTGCAACCTATGCCTCCCGGGTTGAAGCCATTCTCCTGCCTCAGCCTCCCAAGTAGGTGGGATTACAGGCGTGTGCCACCAAGCCCAGCTAATTTTTGTATTTTTAGTAGAGAAAGGGTTTCACCATGTTGGCCAGGCTGGCCTCGAACTCCTGATGTCAGGTGATCTGCCTGCCTTGGCCTCCCAAAGTGCTGGGATGATGGGCGTGAGGCCACCATGCCTGGCAATTTTTCCTAACCTTTTTGATATCCAATCTTCATGGATGCTAACACAATTTCCTAAGGAATTATTTCTAAGGAGCCCAATGCACATATAAAATCATCTCACTAAACAGACTTATGGCAGAGAAATCCTATAAGCAATGTAGATACATAAGAAAACTGCACAGATACTGCTTGTAAGTTACTTATTTCTACAGCATAAAGTAATCTTAAAAATGATATTGTCCCCAAAGATCAGGACAAAGCAAATCAGCATGCATAAAGCCCAACTGTAAAAATCAGGCTCTCTTGTACAAGGTTATGCCATAAGCCTAGATGATAGTAAACAGTTCAGTTTCTTACTGTCTGCCAACCAAGGACTATTTATTCCACTACAAATAATTAAAAAGTAAAAAAACCAAAACAACAGTAACATACCAAAATAAAACAAAAACCCAACCAAACAAAAACTCGCATCAACAGTAATACTGGAAATGATGATAATACAAAGGAAAATCAAACACCAATGAAAACATTGCTATGTCAGCTGCAGGCACTTTTAAAATTAATGACATAAACAGAAAAACACAAATACTTGAAGTAGAAGAAAATGTTCTCTAAGCAAGGAAGCCCATCAGGGCAAATGAAAAGACAAAAAAGAAATGCAATGTGCAACTTCATAGCAAAAATATTGCAACAAAAATGTACAGAGCAGTGACACTTAGGTGAAACAGACATTATAGCTCCCTAAAACGTTTGCTTAGGGGTAGGCAAAGAGCAGGTAAACAAAAACAAAAACAAAAGTACTGCTTCTTCCAAAGGCCATGAGATCCTAAAGACTGTAACCAGACAGGCTGCTCTGAATCCATGTGAACCAGGCACCCAGGGAGCCAACCCCTTCTTCACACAACAAGATTCACGCTTACAGGCGGTTTTCCTCAAAGCATTCCCAAGCCTTCCCGCTTCCACCATGGGGTCCTTGGCCCTCACAAAAGGGAACCATCCATAACAGACCATGAAGAGAGCAAGGGCTGCTCCACTAGCCACTATGAAAGATGGACACTGATGTCGCTTGTCTTTTTCTTTAACCCGATTCCCACCATCATATTGGACCATGACCAACCCTGCCTCCAAATGTCTTGGTTAGTGTTCCTGCTGTCACCTACTGTCACCTTTACCTAAATTCCACATAAGAAACTTTGCCCTACCCTCAATTTCATTGTCATCCAGGACTGATATGATGACCTCTCAGTTAAAACCTCTCTCTCCAGGTGGGCATGGTGGCTCACACCTGTAATTCCAGCACTTTGGGAGGCAGAGATGGGCAGATCACCTGAGGTCGGGAGTTGGAGACCAGCCTAGCCAACATAGTGAAACCCTGTCTCTACTAAAAATACAAAAAATTAGCTGGGCGTAGTGGTGCGTGCCTGTAATCCCAGCCACGTGGGAGGCTGAGGTAGCAGAATTGCTTGAACCTGGGAGGCAGAGGTTGCAGTGAGCTGAGATCGCACCACTGTACTCTGGCCTGGGTGACAGAACGAGACTCCGTTAAAAACAAAACAAAACAAAACAAAACTCCCTCTCTGACCACAATCCTGACTCCCCAGCTGCATCTACCCCTATTCTTCAACCTCATGACAGGAAAAGTCTAGGCACTCTGCACTTTCCCGCCCCAGCTATACATACACTCCATAATGGCTTTACTTCCTTCTCTATCCAGCTGGGAACATGGTGTTAAATAACACATTAGAAAGTGACAAGTGCTGAGGAGAACAAATAAAGCAGGGAAGATCAGCAGAGAGGAGAAGGTGTGTGAAGCTTCAGGAAAATGGAGAGGGAAGGCCTCCCTGAGAACGTGACACTTGTGTTAAGATGCAAACTAAATAAAGTAGTGAGTACTGCGGCAATCTGGGGAAGAGGTGTCCAGGGGTGCGTGGAATAACAGCAAAGGCTCTTGAGGAGTGCGACCAGTGGGGTCAAGCAGCCACATGCTATGACCAAGACAATACACTAAAAACCAATGATAACAAAGTAACTAGAAAGGTTACAAAATGTGCAAATGAACATCAAAGAGAGTTCTCCAGAACTAAGTAGCGAAAAATACAACTTTTTAAAAACTCACAGGATATGGCTTAATTTATAGCTTTTGATGCTTACATTAGAAAATATGACCACAAACTATGAATTAAGAAAGTATAACTGAATAAACCCAAGGTACATAAAAGAATAATAAAAACATTATCAGGAATTAATAGAAAATGAAGATAAAACAACAGAAAACAAAAGATGGTTCTTTAAAAGCTCAGTAAAATTAACAATGTGAAACTGCCTTTGCAAAATTATGACAGTGAAAGGAATCTGACATAGCTGACTCCATCTTGCTTCTGACCTCCGAACTGTCCCTGGTCACTCCTGGGTGTACGCCAAGCTAACTTTGGAAGAAATTTAGTTTCCAGTTTAACTTAGAAGGAAGGATGATAATAAACTCTTCCTAAAACTAGCCCCTTTCCTTGATCAGCGACTGAAAACCACCTTTGTAAGCAAGAATATGCTAACGGGAACCAGAAGGGCCTAAGCTCCACTGAAATGTAGGTGTAGTTTCTATAATCCCTTACTGCTCGGGAGTCATGTGGCCAGAGATCACAAAATTCGTGACTTCCTCGACTGTTCCTATGGATGACATCATTATTGTAGAACCTAAGATTTGTTTTCTTGAGATATTTTTCAGACTGATCCTACCGAGGCTTGTGACTCACGACTCAACTGAGTCCCAGAGGCAAACTCAGTGCAGAGACACTGTTTTCCACATCCCTATGATTAATCCCCAACCAATCAGCCACACCCATTCCCTAGTCCCCTACCCACCAAACTGTCCATAAAAACCCTAAACTCCAGGAAAACGGATATGAGTGATATCCCAGTTCTCCTGTATGGGCCAGCTTCACATGATTAAGTTCTTTCTTGACTGCAATGCTATGGTTTCAGGGTATGATCTTGTCTGTGGAGTGGGCAGGAAAAACCCATTTTACAAAAGCACTGGCAAAACATACAAAGAAAACAGCACAAATAACACAAAAATAAGAAAGAGGGCATAAATATAGATGCAGATTTAAAATAAGAGTACTGTTTATAAATTCCAGTGAAATGATCAAATTCCTAGAAAAACATAAATGCACAACACTGGCTCTGGAAAATCAGGAAACCTGGATGCCCAATAGTCCCTTTGAATGTTAAACTATTGTAAAGACATTTCTAGGTGATTTTAAAAGTGAGTTCTACCAATATTTAAGGAACAGATGATTTTAGGCAGATGCAATGGCCTTCAGAGAACAGAAAATGAGGAAATATTCTCCATGTCCCTTTCTGAGGCTGTTACCACCCTGATATCAAAATAAGGGCAGTTTGAGGAAAGAATGTTAAAGACAATCTCAGAGAGATTATAGAAATCTTAAAAAAAAAATCCTGAAAAAACCATGTTTTTAAAAACTGAATATACTATGCACAAGTTGTATTTACTTCAGGTACTTGAAGTTGGTCCAATATTTGAAAACTTACCATAATCTACCACCTTCATGAATTAAAAGAAAAAAAAAACATGTTTTGATCAATGGAGATAAAAAGTTTATTATAATTCAACACTCAATTCTTAACAAACTAGGAAAAAGAGGGAAATCCTTGCCTGACAAAGAGCATCTCTAAAAATCCTGTAGCAAATATCATACTAAACAAAGAAACAGTAAACCCATTTTCTTTAAAAATAGAAGACAAAGCTTCCCATAATCACCTGTATCACACTACC